GCCACTTAGACAAAATCATGTGTGGGATCTCAAACGAGTGTAAGAGCCAGTGGCATAGGGGAGTTGGATAAAGAGAATAGAAGTTTGGAGAGAAAGTAAGTGGTGGCTAAGAAAAGATGACGGGGGTCTGGGGGTAACCGGCAGCCCGGGGGGGTTACAGTCCCTGGTACGGTGGGCTGTCTCCGTCTAAGAATGTTAGGCTAATTTAGCGCATCAACTTGCATATTACTATGATATTCGATATATATTTTATAAACTGAATCTACATATTTCTTAATATCCTTTTACAATGGGAGTACTCCTTATTGCATTGCTAGATGGCTAGATTGCTAAGCTATTGCCCCTAAAAATACAGCGATGACGGTAAGACTCAGTTCCTGGCGGCAAATCTGGCCCTGCAGTAGATAAATGAAACGTCGGCATAGGCACTGAGACACCCCTTGATATATCTGCATTGATCTTAGTATAACTTCTATCATACCTACAAAGTACATCGTATATTGTCCAGGCAATGCCGATCTGATCCGTTGCCCACTTATGATCCACGAGATAGGAACGTGATCGTCATGTCAGAATCCAAGAGCATATGATGTATAGAGTATATTATAGCTGTTGCTATATCTGTGTAGGTGAGAATAATATCTTATTGCACAGAATCAAAAACTACCATATGAAGGACCCTGAATACATACATCAATCCTGTTGCCTTGGCTGCGCCTTGGCTACACACTAAGCTTTCAAACTCAGTGACCGCTTCCGGAAGTTCAACCTCGGCCGCTTTAGGAGATATTCATGCCTTATTATTTAGGTATCAAGGGTCTGCAGTCATCACATTAGTTAGGCCTCCAGGGCGTTGTGTTCTAAACATATGCCAGTATTGGTATAGAATTATTCATACGCCATCTATTCAAGAACCTTTACTTTAAACATATCCCCTATCTCTAGGTCGCACTGTGCTTGTTCTTCACAGTGTCACCTGCCGCTGGAGTACACGGCTTCACAGGCAATATTGGTGTTGTAAAAGTAGTGTGTAGATTGTTTATTTAGACTATCTGATAGTAAATGGTAGGTTACCTATGCCCGCCTGCCAGAATTAGCAGGCTCATGGCCATACGTAACACAAGAAGCTCATATATCAGCGCCTGCAGGCGGCTATTAGGTAGCTATCTACGATGCAATAGTCATCATCGATGCTGACTACGACTAAGAATGTACTGCTGTCGCTCTGATCCCCACATTGGCAACACTATCGACAACGGTGCGGGTTGCTTTTCTCCTCCTTGCCAAATGTCTGGATCGAGAGTCCGAATTTTAGTGCAATGTGGCAGTCGGAGTCCATTGTCCTCTGGAATCCCTTCCTCTTCCAGCCTTTCAATAGCACGAAGCTGCTCAGGATTCGCTGTTTGACGAAGCAGAGTCCAAAATTCCGCGTCGGACACTTGCCACAACACCTTATCATCTATAGATCCTGCTTCTACTAGCTCGCCTATCACCCGGCCCGTCCGCTGATATATGTCGATATGGGCCGGATTTGACCAGACGTCTCTGTCACTAGTGATATATGCGCGAGAAAGAACCAGCGCTATGTAGGGATCTTCTAGAACTAGTAAACGGCGGGTCGCTGTAGCACTAGGAAACGCCTTCAGTGAGCCGACAACCCTTCTAGCGTCTTCTATAGCAAGCTTGCCGAAGCTGACGGCGTCGCGCAAAGCGTAGTCTAGGCGATCGGCACATAGTTGAGGCGATGGCATCTCCACTAAAGGGAATAGTTCTTCTTCGAAAACATTCTGGTTGATCCCATATCTGGCGAGGATGTCCGGCAGCCGCGTCATCTCAAGATACCGTGTCTTGTGTACCTCGTGATAGCTTCCTTCCCCAGGCTTAGAGAGAGCGTGATCGATGACGTGACTGAGGGTGGTATGAGAGATGTCATGGAGAAGAGCAGCGACTTGTTCTTCAATCGTGGCACCAACTCTTCGCACGAGTATAAATGCACCGACTGAATGTTCGAGCCGAGTGACTGGCGGTGTCAGGCCCAAGAACCCAGTGACTCCATGCTGGCAGATGCCTTGTAGTCGCTGCACCTCCGTGCTTTGAAGAAGCTCTATGAGAACTGGCTCATGGATCAGTTCCTCTCCGTATATTTCATCCCGGATCAAGATGCTATGATTCTCGATGGGTTGGTGTGTCTGGAGGACGCCGGCACTGGTAGGAGATGACATCTCTGTTGGACCAACATGTATTGATAGAAGCAACCGAAGCAGGATGGTTGGGAAAAGTATATGCGCGGTCAAGGAAGTGTAGCCTACTCAGGGCGCTCATCCCTACACTCAGTGAGCAAATCAGGGTCCTCGGATGATGATCAGTGAGTGGATCAGGGTGCTCAGGGACGTGCTCAGTTTTACTCAGTGATCGAAAAGCGGCAAGAGGCAAGCACTAAAACGGAAAAGGAAGGTCTGGAGTGCCAGGCATTATCCGGTACCTAATATCAAGAATATTTCAATGATGTCGATGTAATAATTACAAGTGAGTGGCGCTTCTCATCCATCGCTCTATCTATGTTCATGCCTGCCGTGTAGGATCCCCTATAGTTAGTTAAAATTGAGATAAAACGTTATAATGATTCAAGTCCTGCTATACAAATTATGTCTAATAACCGGTCTTTGCACGCGATGCACGCGATCCTTTTGCCTGATGATCCAGATCTCGGAGGAAGACTCAAGACTATATGCGTTTAATACATCAATGCCGAGCTATACAGTGACTTCGAGACTAGAGGCTACATATAGGGTAACCAATACCATACGACGCAGCTGATGAGGGACCATATATCTACTTGGCAGACTACACAAATAGCTAGATGGATAGATCATGTACTTAGTTGAACTTCTATTGCACATTTTTTAGTTCCTTCATAGAAAGAGTACAGAGATGAATTCATCCATGTCATCACAATCGTGTCCATTACATCCGGGTGCGTTGGCGGGGAGCCGAACGGATGATGTTGTCCACCCGCAGGAGAAGCTAAAAAAGGTCAGCACATATTCCAAATCAAGTATCAAGAATAAAAAGCAGTGGATTACATACCTCGGCTGCCTCTGAGGCAGACGAAACCACCGCCTTCTTCAACTTATAAGCCTCAACCACACCAAGCTCACGCATATCCGCAATACCACCACCGGGTGTCAACAGATCAAGACCAGAGCTGGTCATACCGTTGTTGATGGCAGAGCGCAGACGAGTCACCAGATCGCTGGAGTCCAGACCGGCGTTGTCGGCCAGAATGGTAGGGAGCTGCTTCAGAGCGTGAGAGAAAGAGTCGACAGCAAGCTGCTTCTTGCCGGTCGTGTTCTGAGCCGCCTGTTCCACGGCCTTGGACATCACCATCTCGGCACAGCCACCGCCAAGTGTCACGCGGGGATCCCTGACAGTCTGCGAGAGGACAGCCAAAGCATCGTGGAGCGAACGCTCGGCCTCATCGAGAAGCTGCTCGGTGGCACCGCGCAGCACAATGGTGCAAGCCTGACCAGCGGCCACACCAGAGAACTTGATCAGGGTGTCCTCACCAATAATCACTTCCTCGATCAGATCACACCCACCCAGCTTAACCTGGTCGGGGTGGTCGAAGGTAGAGGCGATCTCACCACCGGTAACAAGGGCCAGGCGCTCGATGCCGTCGAAATCGGCGTGCTCAATGGACATGATACCAGCCTCGGTGAACAGCTGCTCGGGCCAGTTGTAGATGAGCTGACGGTTAACGAAGCAGTTAATACCGTGAGCCTTGATACGCTCGACCTTTTGGCGCATCTTCTCGCGCTCTGCCTTCTCCAACTCGGCAAGCTTGCCGGTCGACTCGACCTTGACTCGTGCGCCGAAAATCTTGACCTTATCTGTGTCCATGGCTGTGTTGGCAACCAGGATCTTGGCGTTCTCCAACCGCTTGGGCTGGTTGACACCAACCTTCTTGTCCATAATGAAACCCTCATCGAGGTATGAATCGCTCAGCTTTCCACCGGCCTTCTTAATAATCTGGATGTGAGAAAGATCGGTGGATCCCTTAAGACGCAGCACGGCATCACAAGCCAACTTGGCGAATTGGTCCCGGTCTTGCGAAAGAACCTTCGAGCTGAGTGTTGTGCGGGCAATGGCGTGCAAGTCCTTGCGGAAAGCCTCGGGGTCCTGGCTGCGGTCGACCGCGGTAGCCTCGAGAGCAGTGAGGGCAGCCTTGCTGGCTATCCGGTAACCCTCGATGATGGTCTGGGGGTGAATCTTCTTGGCAACAAGCTGTTCGGCCTCACGCAGCAACTCGGCGGCCAAAACGGTGACCGATGTGGTTCCGTCACCAACCTCGTCGTCCTGAACCTTAGAGATGTTGACCAAAACCTTGGCCGCAGCGTTATCCAAAGCGATGGACTTAAGAATCGTAGCACCGTCGTTCGTCACCAGGATGTCTCCTGTAGACCTGCGAGAACAGCCATGTCAGTATTTCCGGGGTCATATCACCACATAGGATTATCAATCAGTCCCCCACGTACGCAGATTGTAAGATTTTATCCATTCCCTTGGGGCCAAGGGTACTCTTCACGAGGTCTCCGACGGCGATAGCACCGACGAAGGCCGAGAGACGGGCATTCTCGCCCTTCTCTTCAGTGACATCGTCACCAAAGATCTGTGTGGGATTGCCGAAAGATGCCTAGGAGGGGTAAAGGTGAGCGAGTGCGAACACATATTTTCCACGCTCTCGCGGGTCGACTTGGGAATATCATACCATGATGACCAGCTGAATAAGGCAATCGACCAAAGATCAAATGTCTTGCTGGAGAGGTTGAATCGACTTCTCCTGTCAACAGTGGGGTGGGAAAGGAGAAAAGTTGCCGCACGATTGGCCCGAGCTTCTGATTGGCTGCACTCCATCACCGCCCGCGATTCCTCTCGACGTTTCCTTTCTGTCGTGACGATCTCTTTCGCTGGAATTGACCTTGTTCCTGTCAATATCGACAATGGCGGACTCCGGTGAACAAGCTCAGGCTGCCGCGAACAAGCGGCCTCACTCTGCTGTCGAGGCCGAGAACAGTGAGTCCCCTGCATCGTGGACACCAACCAGACCGCTCCCTCGAACGGAACTTAGTAGATACTAACTGTATGCGATTGCTAGGTGATGACTCTTCCGACGACGATTTCGGCCCTGCACTGCCCTCAGAGGTCGCCCCCAAAAAGAAGCGGCGCAAGCTTCCCTTCGAGAAAGTCTACATCAATGCGCTACCAGTCTCCGCGCGATATTCTAAGTCGCTTATGCACAAGGACCAATTGTCGTTTGTGACTGTTGCACCTTATACGGACTTTGTAATCACTTCCTCCGTCGATGGATATGTCAAGTTCTGGAAAAAGATGGCGGAAGGCATCGAGTTCGTGAAGGAGTTCCTTGCCCACCCAGGCGAGATTCGGGGTGTAACTGTTAGCGCGGACGGCCGCAGTTTCGCGACAGCGGGACTGGACAAGACAGTGAAGATCTTTGATGTTATTACATTCGGTAGGCTTGGAATGTATAACTCTCGTGGTTTAGTGACATGCTGACATTAATAGATCTCTTGGCGATGTATACCCTGGACTTCGTACCTCGATGTATTTGCTGGGTACACCCGCGTGGTGCCTCGCTCCCCCTGCTAGCCGTGACAGACGAGTCAAGTAATACGATTCAAGTATTCGACGGACGTGGCGAAAATCCCCAGCCATTGCACACTTTGAAGTCGATCCACCGCAGCCCCGTGGTCTCACTCGCATTCAACAACGCATTCGACTGCGTCGTCTCCGCCGATGAAACAGGAATGATCGAATATTGGAGAGCTGGAGACGGATCTTTCGAGAAACCTGACAATGTCTTCGAGTTAAAATCCTCAACAAATCTCTTCGCATTTAAGAAAGCCAAATCCGTCCCGACATCCATCACAATCTCCCCGACCGGCGAGCACTTCGCCACAGTTTCCTTCCCAGACCGACAAATCCGAGTATTCGACTTCGCAACCGGAAAGCTCTACCGCACATACGACGAATCAATAACCACCATCACGGAGATGCAGCAAGCGGGAACAGCACCGTACGAACTAGATGAAGTAGAGTTCGGACGCCGCCTAGGTGTCGAGCGTGAACTCGAAAGCGAAGCCACGCGGAACAAAGTAAACGTTTCGTTCGACGAATCCGGACACTTCATCCTGTACGGCTCTCTGTACGGCGTGAAATGTATCAACACCTACACAAACCGGGTCGTGCGCGTCTACGGCCGCGAAGAGCCATTCCGAGCGCTCAACCTCGCATTGTACCAGGGCCAACCGCAACGCAAAGGCGTCGTCACCGTCTCAATGGCAGCCAGTAGCAACCCGCTCCTGCAAGAAGCCGAAGAACGCGACCCGATCCTCCTCTGCACCGGATTCGCCAAGGTGCGCTTCTACATGTTCACGAACGAAACCGAGATCTCGAAATCCGTCCGCGACGTCCAAAACGAGAAACCAACCCAGGCAGCGGCTGGCACTAGTACGGCAACTACCAAAGCCGCTGAGACCGGCACTGCGGCAATCCTGCACACGACCTTCGGCGACATCCACCTGCGCTTATATCCCTCGGCTGCGCCACGGGCCGTGGAGAACTTCGTCACACATGCCCGGAATGGCTATTACGATAACACGATCTTCCACCGTGTGATCCGCAAATTCATGATCCAAGGTGGAGACCCACAAGGTGACGGGACGGGAGGTGAGTCTATCTGGGGCGGGGAATTCGCCGACGAGTTCTCCGTTCTCAAGCACGATAAGCCGTATACGCTGTCGATGGCCAACGCCGGACCCAATACAAATGCTAGTCAGTTCTTCATTACCACGGAGAAGACGCCGTGGTTGGATAATAAGCATACTGTCTTTGGACGTGCAGTGCAGGGCTTGGATATCGTGCATAAGATCGAGAATGTGCGGACGCATAAGGAGAAACCAGAAGTTGATATTAAGATTGTTAGTATTAGTATCTCGTGATATACCAGCCTCGGGTGGAATTAAGAGGTACTACAAAAAATGTGTATAAGCAATCATGGAAGAAATGTGCGCCCGCGTTGTACTATGTACTCTGTCACTTGTTCAGACAGATTGAAAATAAATGGCGAATGAGAGTTAAAAAAGAGAATCGACACAGTCGTCAGCAGAAATCCACTCCGCTATATTTTAGGCCAAAGCCCGCGTAAAAAAGGAAAGGAAAAGAGACGAAAAGAGAGAGAAAAGAGGCGCAAGACCAACAATAAGAAAAAGAAAAACATAGCGTAAAGCCCATTATCCGTACCAAACACCAAGAAATGCAACCATAACCAGGTAGTATGGTATAGAAGTAGCACATCGCAAATAAAAAAGAACGTCAGAAACCCATAGATCAAAAAAAAAAATAAGATAGTACCAAAACAAGCCCTAGACCTGCCGAATCTCCACATCCCCAGGGCCCTGCTCGACCTTCGTCAGACGCGTCCGAGACCCGGGGACAGGAGTACTCGTTTTCGCCATTGTAGAGCGCGAGCTACTAGCCAGGGAATCAGCACCCAAGCCAGCAGTCTGCACCGGCACCGGCGGGGCACCGGCCCAGGCGGCATTGGGCGGAACGGGCGGGGAAGCTGTGCTCAGCAAGCTGCTACCACCGCCGTGATAGAGATTTGGGCGTTTAGCGTCGTAGCGACGCTTGAGCCATACGCCGAGTACGGCGATAGCGCTGAATCCGATGACCAAGACGATGAGCATGATGACCCAGCGGTAGTGGGTACTCCACCTTTTGGGGGGGCAAAAGTCAGCGATTGGTCCTGGGGTGTGGATGTAGTCTCGATTTCCGATTTGCGCTGCAGAGTTGGGATCAAACATACCATGACTTATTCTCCTCTGTGGTGGCTCCGGATTTGCTTGTGGTTGCGCTTGAGCTGGAACTGGATGTAGCGCCTGCGGCTGCGGAGGAGGTTGCTGTGGTAGCGGTGTTGGATGTATCCTTGCCGCCGGAGTTGCAGTAGTTATTGTACCAGGTTGAGAGGGTGGCTTGGTCGGTGGTGCTGCAGGTGGAGCAGATGCTGCCGGAAGTTTTGAGGCCAGTGAGCAGGGATGACTGGCAGAAGCATGAGGTCCAGGTTGAGGGGTCAGCTGCCTCGCAGGAGGTCTGGGCGGTTGTTAGGGTGGTGCAGGTCAGACCGCACTGAGGGAATGTACTGGAGGCTGATGTGGGGAGGATGCTGTCGGCGGCTAGGGCTGAGATTGTGAGGGCGATAAGGGCGAGGAAGAGGACTGGGAGGCGCGTAGTGAGTGACATGGTGAGAGTTGATGTTTTGAAGATCTGTTTTGATGAGGGGGTAAAGTAGCGAATGTGGGAGTGAGAGCCGTAAGGCTCGATTTGATGTTTGAATAGGATCTCTCAGTCCATAGTGTTGCATAGATTAAAGAGAGAAAGAAGAGTCCAAAATGACCAGAAAACGAGGAGACGGTTTTTGGGTCTAGTCGCCGAACGATTCCGGATTCGGCTTTTTTTTCCTTTTTTTGCTTTTCTTTTTACCCTGTAGGGTACGGAGTAGTACCTTGGAGACTATTTAAGATGGTCTTTTTAATTTCTTTTTAATTACTTGATGTTAGTATATAATGTAGGTAGTACTGTAGTACTGTACCTGACAGCAACTGATCGCATGCGTCTGGTTAATCTCCGCAAACGGCCCATCCAACGTGGAAAACACCCAACATTCCGATCAGTTGAGAGATTTGAGAGATTCGAGAGATTCTCTTAGCATTCTGACACCTGCCAGATCTTAAATTCCTAGATGAAATTCAAGGTCGATTTCTATCCGGAAGTTACATCGCTGGATGCAGTAAATGATTGACTTCCACGTTTTTTTTAAGGCTATTTTAGACTAACTATTGCCTTGGCTGAAGATCAATACCTTCATGCAAGGAGTTACTTATATCTATATTGTCTATATTCTAGTACTCCGTACATCGATGTGCTAGGTACGATGCACGATATATGGACTGAGTGATCTATTTTCTTACCGAATCTGTTTTGTACTGATCGGTATGTTATAACCCATCCCTGTCCTTCATTAACTCCAAACAAGGGCCCACCACGATCGGCAGCCCAGACGGTTGAAATAAGGCGTGGAATCCGTTTCAACGTCTTGTTAAGTGGACATTGTAAGATTGCACACCCTTGGATGGAGTATCAAGATTGAATATATCCGTGGATTGCGATATTATTATCTCATGTACGGAGTAGAGAGGCTATTAACTGTGCCTAAGCATAGGCCCCACTCTTCCCTGCGTAGATAAATTCGCAACTTCTGTTTGAAATCGCCAATCATGTACCCTTGAATGGCTCGTGTCAGGTTCTATTTGTGCCGATTGGTTCAGTGTTTTGACCGGGTCGCTAAAAAGGTGTCATACAGAGAACTCGATATGAGGTAATCCAGGGGGGCGGCGGAAAGTCTATGGTTGCGTGGGAGATTATGTCCACGGGTGATTGATTCCGCATAGGCGTTTTCATAGATCTAATTAGGACTAGTGCAAAATGTCCAACTGGGTTTAGCGCATGATCCCAAGGTTGTCCCGATCTTGCTGCATATCTTTATCATATACCCGTACGTTAATATCGAGGACGTAACCTAACTAGTATTCCAATGATTGCGACTAGGTAGAGGATTATACCTCGCATAGTTATGACATTTATTTCAAATGCCCACGTTGCCAAACGTCATTCGCCTTCATAAGTGGTCTTCTACAGCACACGGCGAGTGGTTACTATGATAAATTGATTGAAAGAGGTAGCTGACTTAGCAAATTTCTTCGCTGCTAGATCTCGTATTGCCTTAGCCACATAAACGATTCTATTTACAAGACGAGTGCAGAAATCTTCAACAAAAAAAGGTTCGCTTGCTTGTTCCTCTCACCATCCGTTGAAGGCATTGATATCAAAGCCCTCCCACAGCAGCTTTCCATACTCAAGTTCACGGGCAATTTTTCCATCACTATTCCACCATATCGTAGATAGCATGATCATGCCCGAGGAATCGCCCTTCTTTATTCCAGGAGGAAGGTTGGGCTTGGCTACCTCGGGAGGATCAACCTTCAATGTGAACCGTACCACGTTTTCCAGGACTGCAAACGAGCCGGGCTCGGAACTGCCGTGGAGCGAGATAGCCTCAACTGAGATATTCGTCATAAGACTACTAAATCCCTTGTTCTGTTGGTACCAAGCCCCTTTAGATGACCTAACAATACCGAGGGCTATATGAAAATAAAGTATTAGAATGGTAATTGGGAAAGGAGAAGGGAAATTAGCTCTTACGGATGTCGCTCATGCGATAATCATCAGCCACCATACTGTCCATTTTGTCGGCATCGGCATTCGCGAAAGCTTCGAAGTACTCAGTAATGCGTGCCAGCAATACCTTGTCATCATGGTTTTGGATGCGGTCACTGATAAATGGGGACGCCATATTGGATGAGATGTGATTTCGGTGGTTTATTTGTCACAGTAAGTATTGCGAAATGAATTGTCAAAATGTCTGATCTCTTCATACATGGAAATGAAGCCATATTTATATCTTTCCTTTCCACGAAACTTGCTTTTTGTGATGAGAACCAGAAATAATTGTGGGCACTGAGCGGTGTCATTCCTAAACGCTGTGCTCTCCATGGTTCGTACATGGATCAACGAAGGCGACAATGCATGGAGGCAGTCCGCATTACAATACCACGTCATGATTTCGGGGTCCCTGGGTTTGTATGGTGGGATAGGTGATAGAAGCGTCAAAACTGCATCAACGCCGCTAGGATCGATTCCGTACAACATAGGAGTCCTGAATTCTTGGCATGCAAGAATTGATATGTTGTAGAAGAAGCAATATATGCATGAAATCAATTGGGGTTTAGCGTTGAACTCCAATGGCATGTTAATTATAACGAATTAACTTGGATGTTCAACAGACTATAGTTGCTGAAGGATTGGGCAAGGAAATTGAAGCCGTGTCGATGGTTTTATTTCTCAATTTGAGTAAATGCTAAATCAAAGGGTCCTCAAGTTCTCCAGTCCCCAGCTCTGCGGTCGATCAGAAAGTGGTGGGGTTATCTACATGCCCCGACGCGCAATGTGGCACACTTCAGCTTCAAGTTAGAAGCGCCACTTGGGCTTGCCGGCTTTTCGTAGAATTAAGTTATTGCCAATTAACAAATAATGTACCTATCCCATGCCTTTGTTGTGCAGGAAGGCTTCCATGCTGAGACATTCCCCTTTGCTGCCATAGGCCCCGATATGACTGCCATATCAGCCAGCCACATCAGCCAGGGCCGACAAGGTTCTCACGCGGGGTTTCGGCCGTAAGGCAGATTCGCAGTCCCGCTGCGCAGGGACAATTTCCCTAAAGGAGTATAGGGCGAATGCGCCTGCATGCACAGAGGCCAAATATAGGCCAGCCGATTGACATCTAGCGAGGACCGGACGAGGGAGGGCAGCTCAGGTTGCAGTCGCGGGGTTGCAGAAGAGCCGACGAGTCATACGGGAAAAAGGTGGGTCCACAGGTGCTTAGCAGCTCTATGATCCGGGCCAATCGCAAACATGTCTCACATGCGAGTTGGAGGAGAGAGGGAGGCGAACAGAAAATCGGTTGTTGAACGGAGGGACAGCAGGGTTTATAGAACGACGCATGGGAACCTTGACATACAGACGGACTAAGAGCGCTAAACCAAAAGGGTCGAGACTAAACCTAACGGAGTAATTCCCACACCGATATGGAATATGTACGTAAAAGACACCAAAAATAAGAAAAACAAGCAATAACCTTGGAAGAGTCTCAGGACTAGCCCGAGTGGAAAGCCCGTCGATTGATTGGACGACTCCACCTACATCTCCCCCGCATTCCCTTCACCCTTTCTACTACCAATTACAGCAATCATGCCAACAATGCCCTCCCGCCAACTTCTTTCAACTCTAATAACCTCCCTCAGTAACACACGTTGGACCTTAACCC